AAGCATCTTAAAACTAAGAGAAATTTCAAAAATGTAACTTTTCAAATGCCACTTTACAAAAATACCCACATTTTTGAAATCTTTACAAAAATACCATTTTTTTAAGATTATTTTTTCTTTATATTATTTATGTTTGAGTTAATTATGTTCTATTAGAGTTTAGTTATGAGGGTTTATGAGCGTTTAGGGATCAAAACATTTTTTAGTGTTTAGAATTTTAAGATATAGGGTTTAAAAATCTATAATTAGTGGCATTTTTGTAAATGAACACCCCTAAGTGGCATTTTTGTAAATGTGCACATAAAAAGTGGCATTTTTGCAACTTCCCCTAAAACTAACAAATTAGGTTTTTGATATAATTTTGTTTCTTTTTCCTGAGCTTCCAAATTTAAAACACATAACATAATTAATTTAAATATGTTTTAACAATATTAAAAATTAGATTTATTTTTGCCTCATACCTAATTTTTTTCTGGATCCGCCCCTCATTGTTACACAAATCTCTCTGTAGAAAAACTCTAACATATGTAAGTAAATAAAAACACGATTTTGGGGATATATTTAAGGGTTAATTTGCTCATTAGCCTAATTTTTTTAATAATTAGTAAATTAACCAAAATTAGCCTATGTTGCATTATTATGTTCATTAGATTTAGGTTAAATAGTTAGGTTTTTAATTATAGATTTTAATTTGGTTATTCAATCTAATTTCTCAATATTTAATTTGGGTATTTTCGTATTACTTTCCCAATAATAATGAACAGGTTTTTTTTGCCATTTTAATTTGGAGTATTATTTTATTGCTTCACATAAAAGGTGTAGAAAAAGTATTACAATAGATAAATTTGTCGACAAGTTTGACAAAGAGTTCAATTCGGAGGCTAACAAATTAAGACCGGTAATGCAGTTAGGTATGGCCAGCGCACTAGAAACACTATGTGGTCAAGCCTACGGAGCCAAACAGTACCATATGCTTGGAATCTACCTCCAAAGGTCGTGGATTGTCCTCACTGGTTGCACCATTTGCCTCATGCCCGTCTACATATTTTCGGGTCCTATCCTCTTAGCCTTAGGTCAAGAGGAACGCATTGTCCGTGTGGCTCGAATCATAGCTCTATGGGTCATAGGCATCAACTTCTCCTTTGTGCCTTCCTTTACTTGCCAAATGTTCCTCCAAGCTCAGAGCAAGAACAAGATCATTGCCTATGTGGCGGCTGTCTCCTTAGCGGTCCACATCTTCTTGTCATGGCTCCTAATGGTTCATTTCGATTTTGGGATCACCGGTGCTATGACCTCAACAATGGTTGCTTTCTGGTTGCCTAACATTGCGCAGCTCTTGTTCGTCACGTGCGGTGGGTGTAAGGACACGTGGAGAGGATTCTCTATGTTGGCTTTCAAAGATTTATGGCCAGTCTTCAAACTATCCTTGTCTTCCGGTGGAATGCTTTGGTAAGCTTTCCTTAATTTCTTAAAATATTAAGGAATAGACCATCAAACAAAATATTTACGTAGAGAAACAAAGAGATTGGTTTCCAATTGATGCATCTAGTTGGTCAATGTTTTAGTCTAGCTGCAAGGCATATAATTATTAATTAGCCAGGATAGTTAAAGATTATGTTAGTGGAGGAAAAAATGAACAAGAAGATTTGGTTACAAAAGAAAGTTCAATTAAAATGGCATTAGTATA